AAAAAAAAAGAAAAACAAACAAAAGAGCTCATCCTGTAAGATCAGATTTACAACAAACTGGACCAGAAAGCAAACAATATACACTTTTTACTCATCCAAGCTAACAAAAATGGCCATTTGCATTTCATACACGGATTCGTAAGCTATCGAAAGAATTCCCTTCTTTCGGAGTTTTCATTATTGCACCACTCGCCTATGGCTATGTACGCGATCGCCCTCGATGCTCCAACAATCTTGTACGAAAAAGCCTGTGCTGTAATCTTGACTACCAAACGCCATTTTCCTAAACAACCTAATCTCGTCCGACTCCTGCGCGCAGTTGAACATCCCACTCTCACCGACTTTCATCCCATTTGTCAAATCCGCCATGTCTCTGCAGTCCAAAGCCCTCGCAACCTAGGAAAAGAATATGACGCGTGTTGGAAAGAAAAATGAGAAAGGAAAGGAGAAAATGGCAAACGTTATATAGCTTGTACGAATATGAAAAGAACAAAACTTTACTTGTTTTTCTGTATTTACGCAATTACGGGTTAGTTACAAAAGTAACCTTTAGGCTTTAACTTTAGCTTTGATCTAATTACCGAAAAAATAAATAAGCAACCCTGTAAAAATTACGTTGTATATTTAGCCCACTAACTTTAAAAGTTAGCTTTATTTCTTTGTAATTAAGTTAAACCTCAAGTAGGGCTGCAAACAAGTCGAACGGCTCCCTGGCTGCTCGCGAGCGCTCGAGTAGTTCACTCGAGCAAACGAGTCAAGCCTAGAGCATCATTTTAAGAAACTCGTAAGCTTGACGAGCCGCTCGACTTATTATTCACATAAATACTCCATATAGTTTATATAGTTTATCAATATTATATCACCAACGCCACAATTGTCTATTTAGATTAAAAACAGTACCTTTATATTTAAAACTTATTTAAAAATTTTGAGACGAACTCGAGCCATGTCAAGCATCGAGTTGATCTCGAGCATTCTAATTTTCTTCACGAGTCGAGTCGAGTCAAGCACCATTTTACATGGCTCGTCGAGCTCGAACACTGAAGAAAAAAGTCCGATCTACGCTCGACAACGTCCATGCTCGACTCGATTCGACTCGACTCGTTTGCAGCCCTAACCTCAAGGGCTCTTTTTTTGTATTTATGTCCCCCTTTTTTCTTTCTTAACAATTCATATTGTTTACCTGTCCCATTTTGGGTCTCCTTGCCGATGAATGTCGCACGCACGCAGCTGCAGCTTCAATCATCCGGAACATTTCACTAACATCGTAACGTAATTCAAGTCTTGGATCTGCCAGAACCGAAACCTCGTGCCTCTGGAGTGCATTAAATAGCAAGGGTCGAGCCTGAAATAAAATAGATATGTGTTTCCAGCTCAGCAACAAACACATTTATGCCTCAATGGTAATGCAGGTGAAAACAGAACTTATTAAGAAGACTTGTATACTGTATAACTGAACTTACCCACTCAACAAGATTTTCTTCCCCAAAAGGCTGAGACATGTCTACAGGTTTGCGTCCAGTGATTAACTCCAAAAGCACGACTCCATAGGAATATACGTCAGATTTTTCGGTCAACTTGCCACAGGATGCATACTCAGGAGCCATATACCTGAGAACTCAACCAAGCTCTGGTGTTAGAACGGAGATAAGTTTATCTCGAAAATTGTTGAACACGAAAAAAAAACATCCAAACGACAACTTACCCAAAAGTTCCCATAACGCGAGTCGTAACGTGTGTATTTGCATCTAAAGATAATTTGGCCAGTCCGAAATCAGAAACCTGAAGAAAGCAAATTTAGGTCGCGAAAGCAACTAATTCATCTGTTGTGATTTGAGGAAGTGTTTTAATGTAAAAGAGAATTGAACTTGAAGAAGAAACTGATGAATAATGTATTAGCGGTAAAAGTAGTGAAGTGCTATGTTCCTATGCATGTGTTCTGAGAAAGTAAATTGAGATTGGAGAAAAAAAAAACCAACATATACTCAAAGATACCCGAGCTTCAAAGTTTTTATCTAGAAGGATGTTTGACGACTTGATATCTCTGTGGATGATACGAGGGTGACCTGACAATTGACCTCAAACATGTAAGAAAAATGGCATCCTACTCTATATGAGCTACAAAACCAATTAAGTCAACAATATTAAAATATCATTTTACTATAAATTAGAAATTGACAGCATATCACTTAATTAGATCACGTTACAGTTATGATTCATACATTATTAAAACAGCCTCAAACTTATTTAGCATGCACTAAAAAGGAGAACAACTAAGAAACAATGAAAGAGAAATCTTAACCACTTAAAGTTATTGTTAAATTCCTGAACACGATAAATTCCTAAACCAGTTTCAAATGTCCGTAGAGTGTACTAAAAAGAACTTAGAAACAATGAAAGAGAAATTTGACAACTTAAAGAAATGAATTATATAGCTCCCCAGAAATTTCTCTATCTCCCCCAAGAGTAGACAAGGCAGACATTAGGCAGAAAACTATGTAATCATCATTTTTTTAACAGCTCACATTTCCAAAGCAATAACAAATATTCAAATGGACATGGTAATTCAATTAAAAGTGATAACTGAACTAATCATCACAATAGGTGATACAGCATGATAACTTTGATATGACATTCACTATTGCCAATGTTTTCACTTTTAAGAAATGTAAATGATACATCTATCGTGGGCAATATCATCGGTTTGCCTGGCCTATCACTCATTGATATGTACACTTCTTACATATTTGAACACACATAGTTTGGCCAATCAAACCAAACAGAGGGAATCTGTCAGGATCTAAGAGAGCGGAAATGGGAAAATAAGAAAAGAAAAAAATGATGATCCTTTCTTTCTTTCATTACAGTAAAAATACGGACCAATTTCAACAATTATTTTAGGAGTTAAAATGGAGTAACATGAACTTAAAACAGCTTACAGTCTTCGTGAAGGTAAGCTATTCCACGAGCTGCACCTACAGCAATCTTTACACGTGTCTCCCAATCCAGTGCAGTCCTACCTTCCCCTGAAACAAGAGATATCAATAACCATGTCCCAAGCAATGTTCTCTACAAAATTACGCCATAGAAAACTTACTATGAAGATGGAAGTAGAGGTTATTATTCGGGACATATTCATACAAAAGCAGCCTTCTGTTCTCGTAAATGCAGTAACCGACGAGCGAAACCAAATGGCGGTGGTGAATTCGGCTTATTATTTCGACCTCAGATCTGAACTCCCGCTCCCCCTGGCCCCCGCCAAGCTTTAACTGCTTAACTGCCACATCTCTACCATCCTCGAGGCATCCTTTGTACACTGAACCAAACCCACCTTCCCCCAACAGATTATCGGATGAAAACCCATTTGTGGCCTGAGCCAATTCTTCATAGCTGAACCACGTCTTAGGGTTGCCAAAACCACTAGGCGTTCGGGGTGAATAGACAAAACCCTTGGCGGAGACATTAACATTTACAGGTGATAACTTTGGCACCTTCAGCAATGCAGAATCTGGGCAAAGGTCAGAATTTTTTTTTTTCTTTTTTTT